GGACGCACCCTTCATGCACTGCTCGCCATTCTCACTGAGGAGCAGAAAGGAAGCAAGGCCAGTGCCCACCCGTCTGAAGCACCCTGCAGGGCCTCAGCCAGGTCCTGGCAGAAAACGGATGGCCAGCCCCATGTGTGAATGGAGGAATTTAACGAGGGCCTATTTACAAAGCGTGGGCAGGGGAGGGAAATCCGTAGCTGCTGATGCAGCATCCCTGAGCCTCCACCACCCGCTGACCTGCAGGGCCAAGGGAAGGGGGACTGATGTGGGATCGTGGGAGAAGGCTGCCCACAGGAGTTGGGCCTGGAGAACAAGGTCCAGGAGCCTGTGGTGCCCAGGCGGGGACAGAGCCAGCAGAAAAGCACCCCACCGCTCCACCCCCGCAGCAGGGTGGGAGAGGGCTAGAGGGGCTCTGGAGGGGCGGCCCGCGTGGTCAGCACAGATGAGAAGCTGGGGCCGTGGGGTGGATCCCGGTGTTTCTCCGGCGGGGTGCATGGTGAACATTGTGCTGACCAGGCCTGTCACTTGTCCCTGCCTCAAGGACTCTGGAAAAGCTGACCACATCGATAATTACAGAAGCTGGAGGTGGCAAGACCTCACGGCATCTCTGACTTCATCTTCCTGTCAGGGCAGGAGAAGGTCTCCTGGGAGAAGGAGGTGACATCTAAAGTTAGTCCAAGGCCGGGAGGAATTCAGCCCAGACTGCCCTTTCTAAACCGGGGCCGACTTCTTTGAAAACGTGGCAGGTTCTAAAAAGCATCTGAAGGAAATGTGTCTTCGTAGCCAGGACATATTTTCTCTGGCAGATTCTGAGATTGATGATGCAATTAGGGCAGGCCAAGAGAATGAAGTATTAGGGCTGTAAACTAAGATGCACATAGATGTTTCCACACTTTGGGAGGCACAGATGTAGAAAAAGTTCTTTGTTCCTTAAGCTCAATGTAATAGTCTGCATTTTGTGTTAGAGCGGCATCTCCCCACAAAGGCCACCTCTGTGTTTGGCATAAATCACAATGCAGAGAGAAGGCTCATTCGGTGGTGTCTTCCCCATTGGCACCTGGCACGTATCTGGATTATGGATGGTTGTGGATGCTCCCTGGCACCCTGGCTGTTAGAACGGAGCTCTGGGCAAGGAGATGGCTTTTTTTTTTTTTTCCCAAGATGGAGTTTCACTCTTGTTGCCCAGGCTGGAGTGCAATGGTGCAATCTCAGCTTACTGCAACCTCTGCCTCCTGAGTTCAAGCAATTCTCCTGCCTCAGCCTCCCAAGTAGCTGGGATTACAGGCACCCACCACCATGCTTGGCTAATTTTTTGTATTTTTAGCAGAGACAGGGTTTCCCTATGTTGGACAGGCTGGTCTCGAACTCCTGACCTCAGGTGATCCACCCGCCTCAGCCTCCCAAAGTGCTGGGATTACAGGCGTGAGCCACCGCACCTGGCCAAGAGAGCTTTAAATGATCAGAACAGCAGAGGGGCCTGTGTTTCCGGGAGGGCACAGGGCCCATCTCCCTCTCTGGTTGGAAGGGACTCTCTTGCAGATGGAGGTCACGAGGGCATTCTTTGCATACGGTTTACCTTTCTTTTCATTGAAATCATTGTCTGGCTGCTATTTCCGGAGCTACATCTCATTGTAAAATTCTGGGTTGTTGGCACAAACTCTTCCTTGCTGCTTATGTTTGCTGGGTTCAGCTGGTTGAAGCTTTCTCCCACCACCTGGGCAAGGGTGTCCTTGAGCTGTGGTTTCTGGGGTGGCCCCAGTCCTGTGGAGTGTGATCTGCCTTGAGCTCGGCCCACCCAGGGGAGCCACCATGGTACCTTTCCTCTGTAGGTGGCCTCTCAGGACTCCCCTCAGGGAGTCACTGTGGAGACATGGCCTGTCACTAGGTGTCTTAATCAGTGTGAAAAGCCCAGCTGGAGGCCTTCCATCCGTTTTCCGCCTCCCAACACAAATGCTCTTCAAGTGGTGGCCTGGCACAGACTCTTCAGAGAAAGGCCTTTTGATCCCAGCGGGGGAGGCCTGTCCCCGTGTGCTCCCGCTGCCACCTGCATGCCTGTCCACCGGCGGGGCCTCTGTCGGGAGGCAGCTGACCTGAAAGGGATGTTATTTTTTTAACGCGGGTTTTAGTACCAACAGCAAGAGTATTTTTAGCTGGTTATTGAGACTGATTAGTGAGCCCCAGGCCTCCATTTGGTTAAATAGAGCCACCTTCACAGATGTATTTTGGTACAGTGCAAATCTAGTGTTCTGGATGGTATAGAGTTACCCCAAATGATGGCCGGCCGTTTGCCCAGGGCCTGGGTCCTGCAGAGCAGTCTGGCTACATTCCCATGGTGCCAGACCAACGGCGGGCTGTCCAGGGGCGACAGGACCCTGGGCGCTTCTCATTCTGGCAAACAGCAGGCAGCTGGCTCCAGAGTGCTCAGCCCCTTTGAAGACGCCATGGCGGCCCTGTTGCTTGCTAGCTGTGCTGTATTGGAACCTCTCAGACCCTTAGTTTCTTCATCTGCAAATTGGAACTAATAATACCCACCATGTAGATATAATAATCCCCTGCCATGTAGGGTGAGCCTGGCATCAGCACTCCATGCGGGGAGTGTGTCTGTGTGTGGGTGTCTGTGTGTCTGTACGTGTATGTGTAGGGGTGCGGGTGTGTTTGTGTGGGTGGGTATCTGTGGGTGTGTGTGTCTGTGAGTGTGTCGGTCTGTGTGTGGGGGTGTCTGTGTGTGGGTTTGAGTGTGTGTGGGTGTGGGTGTCTGTGTATGCGGTATCTGTGTGTGGGTAGGTGTGGGTGTATGGGTGTCTGTGTGCGCGTATCTGCGTGTGGGCACGTGTGTGGGTGTGTGTGTGTGGGTGTGTGTGAGTATCCGTGTGTGTGGGTACGTGTGTGTGGGTGTCTGTGTGTGGGGGTGCATGCGGGTATCTGTGTGTCTGTGTGTGTGTCTGTGGGTGTGTGGGGGGTGTGGGTGGGTATCTATGGGTATGTGTCTCTGTGTATGGATGTGTGTGTGTGTGGGTGTGGGTGTCTTTATGGGAGTGTGTGAGTGTGTGTGGATACGTGTGTGTGGGTGTGTGGGTGTCTGTGGGTATATCTGTGTGTCTGTGTGTTGGCACCTGTGTGTGGGTGTGTGTGTGGGTGTCTGTGAGTATCCATGTGTCTGTGTGTGGGCACATGTGTGTGCGCATACATGCACACTCAGGTTTACGAGATCGTCAGGGAGCACAGAGGGAGAAAATAACAGGAAAAAGTCAAGAAGAAAGAGCCACCTTAAAGCATCTCAGGAATTCATCCGTCAAGTCAAATCATCAAGAAATCCCCAGTCCCTCAAGGCTCAGCTTGATGTGGAAGAGGAATTGACCTCTGGGGAGAAAGGCTGTGACCACGCAGCCCAGTGGGAATCCAGAGGCCAGCGCACCGGCCCGGAAGCTGTGACCTTGGGCAAGTCCCTGACTTCTCTGAGCCTCTGTGTCCAGCCCTATAAAATGAGGGGTGGGATTCCTTAAAGAAACACCGCTCTGTCTCCCTGTGATCTGAATGATTGTAGTGTTCATGTTTCTCCATGGGAGAAAATCGCTGGATCTTGGCTCTCCATTAGAAGAGAGAGGGCAAGACAAGGACACTTGCTCACTGTGGATGGAAATGGGCCTGGCTGCCTCTGTGGTCACTGTGAGTGCCGCCTGCGTGCTCCCTTTGACTGGTCTGAGAGGATTCAGACCCTAGACACTGAGGTGTGAGGTTTCCCTGAGGTCCGGACAGACATCTGACTGCGTGGTGGGACGCCCGGGGAGGAGTTCGGGTCCGTCTCTGCTAGTGTCATTTCCTGTCTCTTTTGAAATAGCTGTACTTTTGGACAGAGGCTGACAAATTCTTGGGTGGTGGATTTTGAAATGGTTATAAACAATTTGTAATTAGCTCCTTTGTCTAAATGAGAAAGGGACGCTTACTCAGGCTTTTTATTGACTCAAGGCCCTTTATCCACGTGGCAAGTGCGTCAGATGTGAGCAAAGGAGACCCTCTGGGATTCAGGAAAATTAAAAAGTCTGTTTATTGGAGACCTCCCATCGTTAGAGCTTGGGCCCCCTGGCTTGGCTAGTTATCAGAGTCCTAAATTCTGTGGTGTGGTTGAGGAGAAGCCCTGCGCTTGGAGGTTCGACTCCCAGCCCTGCCACCTCCCGCTGCACGATCCTACGCAAGTGCCTTCCCGCCGTGGGCCTTCGGGATCTCCACCTACGGACAACGGGGTGGGATGGCAGCCCCTGTTCTCTTGCGTCACTGCCCTGGCTGTTTCGAGGTTCAGACAAGAACGTCTTTAAAACCTGTGTGTGTTCACTTTGTAAACTCAAAAGCTGGAAAAGACCAGGCATCCACATTATTGTTTATCCTTGCAAGGTATAATAATCACAATGGTGGTAACTACAGCAACTCTTTATTATTATTTATGGTGGGCCAGGCCCCAGGCCAAGAGCTTGATCACTTCCGTCTGTATAATCACTGCATACCTAGGTGCTGGTACCATCTGCATTTTATAGAAAGGTTAAGCAAATTGTCTAAGATCACACAGCTTACAAGGTCTGAGTAACCTAAGGCAGCTTCTTGGTGGCCTTCCAGTCTGGTGGACTGTTATTTTTCCAGTCGTTTCCTTTGATTCATCTAAGTCAGTGGTCTTCAACCCCAGCTGCCCAGGTGCCAGCCCTCATGGCCCACTGGAAAGCCTGGTTTCATTGGTCTAGTGTAGGACCTAGCATCAGTGTTTGCTCAGGGCTCCCTGCTGATTCTGATGTGGTCTGTGTGGAGCACCGCCGTCCTGAGACCCGGCATCTGTGGGAGAGGGCAGAGTAGTTTGGACTGAACATTGGGGCTCCATGGCCAGGTCTTTTCCCCTGGCTTCCTGCCCTGCAGGAGAAGGGAATTGGTCACGTGGCCTCTGGGGCTGTGAGGTTCTGTAACCATAAGAGCTCATGAGCAAAGCTGTTATTGTTCTTTTTCTCCTTCTGTTTTAGGCAGAATATGAAGTTACTCCAGATGAAAAACTGGGAGAGAAAGGGAAGGAAATTATGTCCAAGTACCTCACCCCAAAGGTAAGGAACTTTCTAAACCCCACAGCAGGTAGCACAGGAGGCATTATCCAAAAATAGGAGCCCCTAAGTCTGTGCCAGGCCATGTGGGGGAGCTATTAAGTGCTGTGCTGGTGGCTGTTGTTGATCTCCTGTGATCCACAGTTCTCATCCTCCCCCAGAGAGTGCCCAAGACTGGCAGGGCCAAGATAGGGACGGTCTAGGCCAGGACTGGAGTAGGGGCGGGATGCCTGCTTCTTGGGGCCCAGCCCCTTCAAGAGTCACCATGCTGCCCTGTGCCTACACCCAACCATTTGTGATAGGGCAGATAGAGGCCCGGCCAAGGTCAGGAGAAGTGCCCAGAAGGAAGGGCTCAGCAGGGCAGTTCTGAGAGGTTGGCGTGGAGGGGAAGTGTTGGGGGTTGATTGGGAGGGAAAGGGGGTGCCCAACTACATCAAAGAATGGAGAGAATTCTGAAGCATATTCTGGAGTGTTCTGTAGGGTCAGGGGCCACCCTGACCCCACCTCGGGGGCATCTACTGAATGGTTTAAGCATTGGGGTACCACCGTCCTCAGGGTCCAGTAGCCTTGGTTCTCCAAGATCTGCTTCCTCTTGACTCACCTTCACAGAAGTGTGTTCTCAACCCATTTAGTGTTCTAGTGTCAGTAGTTCTGCCCACTTGGTCAAGTCACATTCCCTCCCTGGGCCTCTGTTTCCCTTTCTTAAAAGTGGCCTTCCTGCCAGACTCACCTCCTGGAGGTGTTGGGAGCCTGAGATGAGACCTGTGTGGGAATAGCTTTGCATGTGTCCCATCCCCTGGGGCCATTGGTGGCTTCATCCTGCTCAGGACCCTGTGGGCCAACCAGCTCCCCGGAAGGGTATACCTCCTGGTGCCCATCCCAGGCTACCAGTGGACTGAGGTCATCACAGCCTGTGGAAGGTCCTGGCCATCAGTCCTCCCACCCCCTACACCTCTTGTACCAAATGTAGCCCTCGTTCTTCTCCAGCATCAACAGTTGGCGGTGGCCATTGCCCTTGCAGGGTGAGCCCAGCCTCACGCCCAGAAGCGTTGCCCTTTGTCATGCCCCACTCTGAACAGCCTGCTAGACAGCATCCCTAATACGCACACAGAGTCACCATCACCTTGCTGCCTCCCCTTGCTGTTTCTCTGCTTCTGCGTCCATCATAATCTGTGCACTTCTCTTTCTGTGAGCGGCAAACACCCCCGGCCCTTTTGCACTTTTCAGAAATGACAGAATTTATGTTTATAAAACACTTCTAGGCATAGAATGGGGCTAGTTTGCTCTGGACAACGCATGGCCCTGGGCAGGCACAGCTGCCCTCACCTTGGGCAGCACAGCCTTGCCATGCTTCCAGATATGGGCCTGTTGATGTCTGTGAGGTTCTCAGGTGGACACAGTCGAGGAGATGTTCTCAGCAGGGTCCCTGTTCACCCAGTCACAGCCGATGTCATATTGATGAGGCTCTGGCGAGATACATTTTTCATCTCCTGGCCACCACTCAAGACAGTGTGGACACTCTGCCCTGAGCTTAGAGGGGCATGCCCTGAGCTTAGAGGGGTGCAAGCACCATAGAGGGCATGATGATGACAGCTCCCTGGCTGGGCTCCTGTGGTGGGCCACATGCCTCCGAGATGTCTCTGATGGTTCCTGTATCCACGAGAGGTTGCCCTATTTGTGGGCAAATAGTTTTTTGCCCACTGAGGCCCACAGAGCTGCACAGCATGAGAGGCCACTCAGCTGATGGGGTCTTCAGCTGCCCTCTGCAGAGGCATCTTCCCACGGCGGCTCAGCTTGGCCCAGTCCACTGCTTCATCTGTGTCCCTGTAGGGTTGCCCACTCACATGTGTTCCCCCCAAACAATGGCAACTAGCATGTATTGAGGACCCCTTGTGTCAGGCACCACTGTCTATAGTCCTTGCTGTCACTGTGGAATGCAGATTCTGTTGGTTCCATCTTACCAATAAGGAAGAAGAGGCTCGGGGAGCTGTCGCATCCCAAGTCACACAACTAGTGAGTGACAGAGCTAGAATTTGAACCCAAGTCTGGGTGATTCTAGAGCCCTGGTTGTTTTCCCTGGGTATAGGCTCCTCACCCCCCTTCACCGTCCTCCCACTGTCTGTGGCCTGGCTCTGATCTGCAGTGAGGGTGGAGTGCTCCCTTTGCCCGACCTTGCTGACTGGATAGGCTCTTGTGGCTTAGCCAAGAACAGGGTATAGGCAGGCACTGGGGGAGCCAATGAGGGCTGCCACCGGGTCACCCTGTGGCCAGCCTTGTCCAGAAGCTCCTGCTGGCAGCCTCTGACCTGAACTCTCCAGACCTCCCTACCTCTGCTCAGCCTTGCCTCCATCTCCTGGAGGGATGGGGCCCAGACTCCCCCAGCAACTCAGATGGTTTTACAAGTGCCTCAGAGCCTGCCCACATTTTTTCCCTTAAGTTCTCCTCAATTTAAAAACTTTAAGCCACACCATTTGTTACAGCCAGGGAGGCCTCCGGGGGAGGTGGTCGATCCGTGCCTTGGGTCAACTGTTTTCCTACAATAAACTTTGCCATTCCTTCCCGTAACCGTCCGTCCCATGACAGCTTGCTCGGGAGCCTGATTGACTTCTCACATGCCCCTGGGCCCCAGATGCATTGAAGCAAGGTGGTGGCTGAGGAGCTGAGTGAGTGACTGAGGCCCCAGCACTGGCTCAGAGGACTTTGACCAACCCCAAAGCCACTGTCCCCAAGCCCAGATGGTCCTTGCCTTGGGACCCCTCCTCAGTATGTAGCTCGTGTGTCTCAGCTCCGCGCAGTGTTTTCCAGAGGGTAGACCATGGGAGAGTGGCCAGTGGAGAGGCTCTGTGAAAGAAAGCCCTCTGTGGTCAGTTACATGTGGGCAGCACTGTAATGCCATATCCCCCCTGGTGGATTCACTCAGCATGTGAGCATATTCAAGGCTCTGAGAAGTCCTGCAAGAAAGAAACCTCTTTAACTGTTAACAAAGCATTTCCCAAAGTTATTGATAATAACGTTTTTTTCAGTTTCCGGCACACCGTGGGCTACAGAACACATCCAAGAGCCTCATGCCCACACCTCCTTCTGCTCCAGCATCCTACCCTGGGACCTCTCCCACAGCCCCACATTGGGTTCTAGCCGCACCATTTCCCAGGCTCACCTGGATGTCCATACTTTGTGGCCTTTGTTCAGGCTGTGCCCCAGAAGGCCCTTTATCTGGAAGGCACTGTCCCCTACTCTGTCTTTCTCGCTTCTATATCCCTGCTTAGCCCTAACATCCCCAGCTGCACAGAGCCTCTTCCGCCTCTCATCAGAGCCCATTGCCCTCACCTGGGTGGTCTCTGAACACATTGTTCCATTGTTGTGATTTGGTGCCCCATGATGGGGATTCGAGGAGCCCACCTTCAGAGTGGGGGCAACACAGAAGCAGATTAACCAAATACCCCATGATGGGAACAGTGGTGGAGCTGTGCTCAGGGAAGTGGGAGATCTGGAGAAGCTGCCCCAGCCCAGCCCAGGTGAGCCAGGGGAGCCTTCCAGGAGGTGATGCTGCTGAATCAGATCTTAAAGGATGTGGAGGAGGAAGCTGGACACGAAAGAAGGGGAAGGAGGAGCGGCCTTCATAGGTGCAGTGCAGTGGGCATTTGGGGCTATCTAGAGGTATTTGTAATTGGCAGAGTTATGGGGGAGGGAAGTGCTCCTAGCATCTGATGCATAGAGGCCATGGTTGCTGTTGAACATTCTATAGTGCCACGTGGCAGCTTCCTACCCAGAGTTACCTGGGGGAAAAATGTCAATAGGGCTGAGGTTGAGAAACCTTGGCACAGAGGTAGAAAAGGGCACGGGGTGGGCAGTGCTGTGGGGGTGGGAATGGGGAGGGGGCCCCTCTGGGCTATAGGAACTGGGAAGCCATGTTGAGGTGGCGGCAGTGTGGAGCTGCCAGTGCTTTGAGTGCCACTTGTATTTTAGGATTATCCCCCTGACTACATGGAGGAGTAATAAGGGGGATGAGGAAGGACTGGAGGCAAGAGGCCATCTGGGGAGCAGCCCCAGATCCCCAAGCTGGGCCTGCAGCCTTGGGGATGGGGAGGAACAAGCGCCTTGCAAAACGGCAGAAGGAGGATGCCCTTGGGCTTTTGTCTTGAGTCTCTGGGTGGGTGGAGGTGTCCCCAGGAAAGACAGAGCACAGGATGAGGGCTGTGGGAAGGTCCACCTGCTCTTGGCAGAGGCAAGGGGATTCACTTTGGATGGAGACAGTGACATCTGCTCTCTGTGTCCCCGCCCCAGCATGACGCTGGACACATGGTTCTCGATCAATGTGAGCTGGTTGAAATGAAATGCTGAGGGGAGCTCTGGAAGCTGCCCTCCATGGGCCCATCAGCTCTCCTGCCTCCTGTCTCTGGGAGCCACGCTTGGTGAGCTCACATCCTGAGGTGTCTGCCATCTTGTAATTGTTGGAAGCCAGGATAAAAAGCCCCTGTCTAAGCAATGTCTATGTCTGGAGCTCCATTCTCCCTGCCCACAGAGGACGCCCTACCAACCCTTGCCTGAAGTTTTTATCCCAAGAGGCAAAGCCCACTCCATGGACACTGCCTCGAATCCTGCATCGGTCGCCCACACACGGCCAGCTTTGCTTTGGGGGTGTTACAGGGCGCCAGCCAAGGGTGGGCTTGGAAGGGGTTGAGAGCTGTTGGAGAGCTCACAGAAGGGCAGCAGAGTGCTGAGAAGGAGGCGAGCTTTAGGGTCAGGTAGACCTGGTTTCAAAGCCAGATGTCACCTCTTTGGGCTGCATGGGCTTGGGAAAGTTGCTTAACCTCTCAGTGCCTCAGTTTCCTCATCTGTCAAAGGTGTGGGCCATGAGGATCATAAATAAAAGCTGCAAGTACTGAGCATGGTAGCTGGGGCATCTTCAATGCCCGGCAGCAGTGCCTGTCATCTGCCTTTCCCCACCTTCTCCGTGCCTTCAAAATCAGGCTGTTGAATGAGGAAATGGTTCAGACATGGAA